AAAAAGCTTTATAAAATTATGTCAAATTATGAAAAATAAACATCCATAAATTAATACATCATACGCACTTCATAAATAATTCTTTTAATTTATCAGGAAAGAGCCAGGTGGGCAGGACAAAAAGAGGAGGTCAGTAGCACTCCCAGAGCTCTGGGAACACCAGGAGAGGTGGCAGCTGCTCTCCACTGTCCCAGTACTTAGGCAGCCCTGCCTAGGCATGAGCCTGCTGCCACCAGGCTGGAGCTTTGAAGACTCTTCCGTCTTCCACCTTCCCCTTTCCTCTTCCACAGAGGTAGCTCCTTCCCAGTGCCAATCCAGCCAGGCTGCAGCCCCATGCCCTGCTGTTAGAAGTGCACTGATACATTAGGGCTATGCAAAGCTTTGGGTGCTGATTCGATTCGGAGGAGATTTGGCCCGATTTGATGACTGAATCTCCGAATCCGAATTGAATCAGGAGACCACTTAAACGGTAAGGTCCAAATCAATTCGAAACTCTCTCAGAAAAGATTTGGAGAGCTTCGATGATTCGTGCAGTCCCTACTGGCTGCAGCAGGGAGCTAGACCCAGACTCCATGCTGGTAAGTACGGGGCAGGGGAGGGGAGGCTGGAGGAGGGGGAAGTGGACAATGGGGGGACCCCTGCCAGGGCCCATCTCCTGCCTGCTCCCACAGCCCCTATGAGCATCCCTAACCCTCGCCCACTCTCCCAGCCCCTCTATGGCTTCTGTGTCTGCCCCAGCTCCTGGTTATTTGAAAAAAAGCCCCCATTCACTGGCTGCTGTCAGGCGGGGGGACCATTCCCACTGCCCCCCACATCCCCCACCTGGCAGCAGCTAGTGAGTGGGGACTTTTTTTTGGCAAAGAGTCAGGAGCTGGGGCCATGCAGGGCTGGGAAAGTGGGTGGGGGATGGGGCCTGTGTGATTTGGAGATTCATCTGATTTGGCAGCAGTTGAATCTCTGAATCAGATTCGACCAAATCAATTTAGGATAGTGATTCAAATCAGCGAATAGAATCACTGTCCCCCAAATAGGCCAAATCCGAATCCAAACCGAATACTAGCTGCTGAAAACAGACCTACAATACATCAGTCCAATATTGGATCTGTACCAATATAAAGACAACAGTCTGTATCACATTTCAGCCTGATGGAGCCAATAGTTTGGCTGATAAATGCCTGTGGCTTGAGGGTTAATGCTTGTCTTATACCTTACACCACAGGAAGGCACACAAATAACCCACAATAAATAGGTCACCCATTTTACTTTATATGCTGCTGAAGAAAGCACAATAAATAAATAAATTTATACTCCAACTAAAAAACCAAGAAGAACTTCTTTAAACACTTAGTCAATAACTTGTATGCTCCAGGGTAACTATTGGGGCTGTGTGAAATTTTGCCAGCTGTTTCGTTTCAAAGCTGTTTTGACCTGTTTCAAGCTTGAAAGAGTGAAATCGAAACAAAAGGCTTTGAAACAGCCTTGAAAAGAAACAAGGGCAGTCAAAACATTTCAAAAGTTTTGAAACCTTTCAAGTTTCGAAGCTGGGCTGGCTTGCAGCTAAAGGGAAACTAAAGAGAGGGAGGGGGAAGAGAGGGGAAGGACTGCTTTGATAGCGACATGTATAGCTGGCCCGTGACTGTCATACTTC